ACTTGCATAAGTGTGTTATGTAACTAGATTGAGAGAGAAAACAGACATTTCAGTGTTAAAGATCTTGCATGCTCATTACATTGTGTACTGTCCTTTTTTTCTCAGCATGATTTAAAATTTTCTAAAATGTCATAGCATTCTAATCAGTGTTTAATCCTTTCCTTGAAGGCTTTAATGCCATTTGCCGACACTCAAAACAATTAAATATACTTCAAATTGCTCATGTACTCATAATGTATTATGCCAAAGTAAGGGGACTGTACCATCAAGTTCATCCAATACAAAAATATTATTATAATTTCATCTCATACTTTCATTGTTGATCTACTTAAACCCCTATGATCTGGGGACATGACCATCAAGTCTTAAGGGGGCTGTCACACTCGAGAACAAAGTTCATCAATTATGATCAGATTTTCGTGATTCTTTAATATGTTATACATACATATATGACAATAAACACCACCAAGTTTCAAATCATTTGAATAATAAATAATGAAGTTATTAAAAAACAAAAACAAAATTTTATATTTTGTACTTTAACCATTGACCAAACTTGTTGAAAAAAATACCACATACTCTATTGCAATATCTATAGGTTGCAACAGACAGATATTGGAATTTCCTCTTAGTTTAGTGGGAATTTATCTTTTTCAAAATGTTCAGATATATGGACTTCCATTACCTAAAATGAAAATCGTCAATCACCAAAAACTCGCAAATTTATTTAGCCTCTAAATGATCCAAACCCTATCAGCATCACCCAAGTAGTTATGGAAAAATATAAAAAAAATATTGACAAGTAGTAGTTTCAAAATCTCGCTCTGAAGTTCAGGATACTTTTCCCTCAATTTTTTTTCTTTCTTTCTTTTTTTGGGATTCTTTCCTCTGCATCAATCTTGATGCATTACATGACATTTACATGGTATTCTGAAGTGTAGCTGGTACCTTGTCCCCTTCTTTTACACGGTACTAATGGCAATAACTGAACATGATTGTAGAAGTACAGCATGTCATCACAAGCTTCGCAGTGCCTAATCCAACCCCGTGAGGCATTTCATATGCTTAAACAACTGCTGCAGCTGTGATTGAGAAGTATTGCTCATCATATTGCGTTTCTAAATACAGTAATAACATTTTAGCTGTGTCCCCTTAGTGTGTGATGAGAGCATATGTCTGCGAGATGGCTTTGTAGAGGCAAGAGATTGGCAACATCTCCCTCTGAATTTCTGGTGGTGACTGCCAGTTTTGTCTCCCAAAGACCCAGTCATGGCAATCAGCTGATAAACAGAGTTGCCAGCTAGCTACCAGAGAATACCAAAATAAATTGAAAAGATTCGCCGCAACACGCGGCGTATTCGGAGCACGAGCTCTGATCCAACGCTACACTGGCGGGACACCCGGCACTGTCTCATATATGGAACACCGTCATAAATGGGTTAAGGGGGCCGTCGAAATTAATTTTTGACAAATATTTTCAAAAATACTTGAAAACTTTTTAAAAATCTCCTGTAATCTAGTAGGCTTTGGCAATCCCATGATGTAATGTTTCTGCTAAATACGTAAATATATAGGAGTTATGACTAAATCTCTGACCCACCGCCTCCCGACTCTGATGTTTACTTCGTCACATCCGAGAAAATATACTTGAATTTGTTTTTCTGGATTTTTCTCAATTTATTTTGGCATTCTCTGGTAGCTAGCTGGCAATTCTGCTTCCTGAATCAACTGATAGCCATGACTAAGAGACAAAGCAGGCAGTCACCACAAGAGTGTGAGCAGGAGGCTGCGCATCTGCTGCCTCGGTGCGACACCATCCCATACACATACCCCTGAAGCGCCCTCATCACACACTAAGAGGACACTACTAATGATAAATGTTATCCCTGTAACTAAAAACATAATATGATGAGAAATACATCTCAATCAAATTATTGCAATGCATGTTTATTTCATATACGGCACTGCGAAGCATGTGATGACACGCAGTACTTCTACAATCATGTGCAGTTATTGTCATTAGTACCTTGCAAAAGGGGGGGAACCAGGTACTAGCTACACTTCAGAAAACCATGTGAACGCCATAGAATGCTGATAGCCATGATAAGAGACATTAACCACAGAGAGAGCCAATGCGTGCGCCTTGCGAAACCCATCCCATACAAGTACCCCTGAAGCACCCTCATCACACACTAAGAGGATGCTACTAATGATAGATCTCTATCACAGCTACAGCAGTTGTTTGTTCATGTGGAATGCCTCACGAGGCACTGCGAAGCTTGTGATGACACAGTAGTACCTTGCAAAAGGGGGGACCAGGTAGCTACACTCAGAATACCAATGTGAATGCCATAGAATGCATCAGATTGCACAGATCAGAATTCTAAAAAAATTTGTGACATACTGTATTTTATTTCCCTTCTAAATCTCCCCCTGTGTGCAAGGAATGGCCAGGGTTACCTTCCACTGGTAGCATGCAGGATCGAACACAGGTCAGCAAGATTGCAAGCCCAGCACGTTACCAAAGCACTACACAGCTTACACACAAAGCAAGTGACAACAAAAAATATAAATTTGCCATTTTACACAATGGCATTTTCCTTTGGGAATCAGATTACTTCATATGTATTTCATAATTTTAGACTTTGTTACAGCATAAATCAGATCCAAGCCAATTCTCATATGCCCATAGGACATAGTACATATTTATATAATAAACAAGCCATATTTATTAGCTTCATTTTTTCTTTTTTTTTGTCAATAATTGAGTTTGCTTAACTATGATATTTGAATAGTAGGCTCAATTTTGCAATATACTTTAATTTTCAATTTCTCTCCGAATTCCTTGTATGATTGAAAATATTTTTCCTTTATGAACTTGGTTCACTTCCCCAATATTTTTTGGAATAAGATAGTAACACACACTGCTTATAAATAAAATTTCAGCTGACAACAACAAAGCCTAGGCCTATGAGGAAGAACAGCATCAATCTGTGGTGAATGCTTTGACGCCTCTTCTCTTTATTTCTTGTACCGATGACTACTTTTTGTAATTTACAAGCATCTAATCTTCTATTTTCCCTAACATAGTGCTTCCATACCATAAAGATCAACTGTACTGGTCTTCTCTTAGAACCACATAAATATTTATCTTAATCTTACCAAAAATCCTAATTAAAGTATCTTAAATCTGTTTTCACTTAAATCTTATGAGGCTAAAGCAATTTCAAAAAATCAATCAACTAAACAATTTGGAAACTAAACATGAATTCACACACTTCAGAAGCACCTAACACTTTCATAACATTGAAATAAAGCTGTGCGTAACTGTCGAGAATAGATACGAAAAATACAAAAAATAAACAATGCTCCCTCTATATAACCCTAAATGATCCTCCGAATTATATAAATCAAGCTGCAAGAGAAAGTTAACAGTGAATTTGGATATTAAAAAGGGTACTTGTAACACCTCAAACAATTGCCGAGGTGATGACTAACAAGCCTACACCATATCTATTTTAACTGAAAGAACTGTTAAACCTCAATGTTCTTTTATTACCAAATAAGAAACCAGTTTAAACTTAATCTTGCCAGCATATGTAGCTTGAGGTCTGATCCCTTTACCAGAGCACATGTGTTATGATTGGTTAATATTGACAAGCTATAGAGTGTAAGTAACTTCACACTCAAAAAATGCATAATATAACATTAATATATAAAATGAATAAAATAAATAAATAAATATAGACTCCTACAAGTGCCCATCACTGTCTATCTCTACTTTGGCCTCTATGCATTGTACTCCAGCACTTAGCAAAAACCTCCACCATTTACATGCTAATAAGACAAGCTTGCGAATCTTCCTCATAATTTTTCATGAAGAAGTCTCAGCTTTCTTACAATAACATATGTATGGGAGTGTTTGCTGGCCTTTAACGGAGCATAATACAGAGAGAAATGGCAACACTTGGTGAAACTATTCTGGAAAATCACCATCTTACCCTTTCTAAAACAAACCTTCATAACTATGGTTTCAATATCTTTCATAGAGAGGACTAGATGACTTCGATTCTGGAGTTAAAATTACACCCATCTATTATAGAATTCAAAATGTTTCATTATAAATAGATCATCCCTAAGGCACACATCAAAATTCAATACAATATATACATCATGGAAAAAAAGCTACCTCACAGCGACAAACTCGGTGACAAGCACCGAAAAACTAGTTATGGTTACATATTGATTTCCATATGAATGACCAAACTTCATGCATAAAGAACCAGAACAATGAGAAAATGGAATAATCTACCAGGGTGCAAATGAACCTCTAACCCTACAACACAACACACAAAACATCAGCCAAATGTTATTCCATAAAAGTGTACCCATTTCACAGAGGAAAAAATAGGTCAAGGCTTTGAACACATCACCTTTAAGATCCCTCTCGAAGACATTCCAAGGCTATCCCAAACGAAAAATGATAATGATTAAGACAAAAAATCCAACACCAAATCTTACACTGACGTCTGGAGTACAAAAAATATTTCCTATCCCTTTAATCCTAAAAAACTATCTAAAATCTCGGGAATTCCGCTCACTTCCACCAATAAATCAGGGCATCTGGCGCAGGCAGAGAGGGTACTGAGGGCCTGTCTCCGGTTAAATGGTGAAATATGGAGGAGATTGAGGGTCCAGCGGCGGCGAGTCCAAGCCAGCTGGTGATGATGACACCGCCTAGCCACGGACCTCCCGCTTATAAAATCCTTCTTTCTCGCTTTTTCCTTACTTTAAAATCCTCCAAAATGACCTCCGGCCGGTGCACTACCCACGCCATTCCCTGCGTGCAGAAGGAGGTGCCGGGAATACTCACTCTCGACGAAATACGGCGGGTTTTTCCGATGGAATTAAGTCTCTCTCATTTTCCGTCCCGGCTGAACAACAACGCGTGAATGTGTCCGAAACCCACGTGAAAAAAGGGCTCGATCGGCTTCGGCTTCGGCTTACCGGTATGGTGACGTCATCGTTCCAGGGCGTTCTTTAAAGTTCTCTTCTTCTCTTTTTTTTGTATTGATTTACCTTTAGTCTCGCTCTTTCCTTTATTTTCGTTTGAGGGGAGATAAATCGCTTGTATTGTATTTTGTGTGTGTATATATATTTCTTCTTTACGCCAACAATGAAAATACTTTACCGTATGTAGTTTCTTTTCATAATCAAATGGGACTTCGGTTGGAACTTTACCTTAACAAAATACAATTTAAAACAGTAAGAAATCTTTTTATATTTCCCGAAAACACCTACTAATAAGTAATCGTAATGACAACAGAAGAAATATAAATTCAAAAGTTTTAGATGATATAACAACCAAATTTATAACACGTAATCTTCTTTCTTGCTAAAATTAACCAAACACATGTCGAAATTTTCCACACTTTTCCTAATATAGTAGACACGGCGTCATCCTGGATTCTACTAGAACAAGCCACGTTTATTCAATATATGATTCGTCCTCCGCTGGCTATTGTTACTCATTACTAAATTCCTGTATGTGGGTTGTGTGTACAGGACATCTATTGGCTTCTACGAACGAGCTGACCTCATTACATTAAAGTGCGCTTTTTTAATTTGCGATTGTAGTTTGAGACACGAACACACGGTTTGATTATGTATGTATGCATGGCCAAGGTCTACATNTTGCCCATTTTCTCGGATTGCTATCAATTGCATTTTTCTCTGTACTAGTTCCCTATCTATTCCAGGCGCTTGGGGGTGAATGCCGGCAGGTACATACCGATAATTTTTCCTTTGAAGATATTTAGTTGGGTTCCCCCTTAAAGGAAGAAAACGTGGACGCTGCTGGAACCTGGACTGTGACGTACGGCGAAAGAGGTCAGAGGAAGGGAAAGAGAGAAGGAGAAGGAGAAGGGAGAGGAGGAAGAAGAAGGAGAAGAAGAGAAATGATGGTGAAGGGAGAGGAGAGAGGAGAAGGGAGAGGAAGAAGGAAGGGAACGGGAGATGGGAGAGGAGGAAGTATAGAGAGGAAGGAGAAGAGAAAAGAAAGGGAATGGGAGTAACGAGAGGAAGAAGGAGAAGGGACAGAAAAAAGGGGAAGAAAGAGGGAAGAAGGAGGAGGAGGAAAAGGGGAGATTAGACAAGGGGGAGAAGACGACAAGGGGAATGACGTGATAAGATGAAGAAACAAGGAGGAGAAGGAGAAACAAGAGAGCTAACAGAAAGAGTAGAGATAGAGAGTAGAGAGGAGAGAGAGAGAGAGAGAAAAGGGAGACGGGGTCATGACACTGATAAGCAGGTTTTAAAAACGGGGTTGGACATTCTTTATCTTTTTGGATTTTTTTTATCTTTTTGGAAATTCTTTATCTTTTTTGAAATCCTTTATCTTTTTGGAAATGCTTTCTTTTTGTATTTTTTATATCTTTTCGGGAATTCCATATCCTTATGGAAATTCCTTATCTTTTTGGAAATTCTTTATATTTTGGGGAATTATTTATTTTGGGGGAAATTCTCCACTTTTTTAGGAAACTCTTCATCTGATTTCGAGAATATATTTTTTTTTTATCGTCAGCTGCAAACGGGACGGAGCAAGAGAGATAAAATGTCACAGGAATATCAAGGCAGGCAAGTATGCGCGGATATGTATGTATCTAATGATATATACATACATACATACACACACACACACACACATATATATATATATATATATATATATATATATATATATATATATATATATATATATATATATATATAAACACACACACACACACATATATATATGTATGTATGTATGCACATACTGTATATAAACACACGTAAATATATATAAAGAAAGAAATAAAAAGAAAAAAAATACTTGCATATACATATACACGAAGAAAGAGACAAAGAAAAAATAGACCAAGTGAAAAAAAACAGAACCAAATGCGAAAACGCAAAAAGGAGAGAAGACCGATAATAAAAAGGCGAGACAAGAGAACAGAGCAAACGAAGGAAGGAATCAAGAGGGGAGGAAATTGCAGACGAAGGGGAAGAGGGAAGCTAGGAAGGATGACAGAAAGAGATGGTGAGAGAGAGGTGAAGGATAAAGAAAGGAAGAAGCAGAAATGTAAGAAGAAGAAGGTCGAAGAATAAGGAGCAAAGGGCAGCGGCAATAAATGGGACGAAGAAAGAGAAAAAGTGAAAAAATAACTAATTTTTGTTTTTATTATCAATTACTTTAGATCAACAAATAATGGTATTTTATCTACACGATTTTACTGTTTTAACTAATAAACTAATTGAAACAAATGATCATGGAAGCTGTTCCTTGAATAAAAAAAAAAACCCACTCCCTTGTGTGAAAAGCCTGAAAAAGAATGAAAAATTAAGACGAATAATGAAACGAATATATCAATAAACGAAAATAAAAATGAAGAGAAAAAAAAAAACATATGCACACAATAATAATAAAGAAAATCAATAACTGATCAGATAGACAAAAAACCTAGCACTAAAACAGGCTTTGAAAACACCTCCGCCAAATCTCCTATAAGAACCAAACCCAATTTTATGCGTTAGCCATTCGTTATTTGCCGAACAATGTCGCACAGAACAGCTAACATGGCAACGTGTTTACCGAACGAAAATGAAAGCCCTTTGATTTGAGTTTTTTTTTCCCTGGGTGTTTTTTTTTCCTGTTTCGCGAAAGAGCATTGGCGAAATGAGAGAGGCGAGGATGCGGGTAAGTGCACGGCAAACATGCATCAGAGACGAAAAATGAAAAATGCGATATAAGTGGAGTTTGGGGGTGTCACACGGCCGCGTGGAGAGGAAAGCATACATGCACGCGGTGCCACATGCAGATGCTGGGAGGCCTAAGCTGACACATGCAGTTGCACAGACACGGGCAGATACGGGCATGGGGACATAAACATGCACGTACACACATAAACACAAACACACACGCACATAAACATAAACACACACGCACATAAACACACACACGCACACAAACATAAACACACACACACGTACAAATGCATGCTCGTCCATTCTCACTCCCACACATTCGCACGGTTAAGTTAACTACTGACACACACACTTCCCTGACCCCCCCCCCTCTCCCCCTGCCGAGATATTTGTCAATTCTAATTAAATTCGGATGTTTACGGGTTTGGATCACGGTGTATGGGGGGGGCGGAGGCCAGGTGATGTCAGCAGCATACGCCCGACCACCCCTTCATCCTTCTTCCTCTTCCGCATTCCCTTTCCTCTTCCTCTTCCTCTACTTTTTCTTCTTCTTTCTTTTTTCTTCTTCCTTCCTTCCCCTCCTTCTTCATCCTGCTCCTGCTCCTGCTCCTGCTCCTCCTCCTCCTTCCCCTTCCCCTCACCCATCTCCTTCCTCCCTCCCCTCAGAGAAAGAGAGAGAGAAGAGAGAGAGAGAGAGAGAGAGAGAGAGAGAGAGAGAGAGAGAGAGAGAGAGAGAGAGAGAGAGAGAGAGAGAGAGAGAGAGAGAGGAGGAGAGAGAAAGGGAGAGGAAGAGAGAGAGAGACAGAAGGGAGAGGAAGAGAGAGAGAGCCAGATAGATAGATAGAGAGAGAGAGAGAGAGAAGAGAGAGAGAGAGAGAGAGAGAGAGAGAGAGAGAGAGAGAGAGAGAGAGAGAGAGAGAGAGAGAGAGAGAGAGAGAGAGAGAGAGAGAGAGAGAGAGAGAGAGAGAGAGAGAGAGAGAGAGAGAGAGAGAAGAGAGAGAGAGAGAGAGAGAGAGAGAGAGAGAGAGAGAGAGAGAGAGAGAGAGAGAGAGAGAGAGAGAGAGAGAGAGAGAGACGGTGACACGCAGATAGAGAGAAAGAGAAAGAGACGTAGACCAGATAGAGAACGGTAACAACATAAGAACCAGAGCATGAGAAGGGCATGAGAAGGAGACCAGAAGGGAGGGGAGGAGAGAGACGTAGGGAGGAGGGAGAGACGAGGAGGAGGGGAGGAGAAGGAGTACGAGAAAAAAAAGGGTGAAAGGGGCAAAGGGAACGCATAATATTTTAACCCAACACCTCTCGATAGCGCCCTGCCCGGTAAACATCATTATGCCTCGGGTCTTGAAGTTTAATTAATTTCCGAGCTAGTGAAGGCTGATATGTTTGGCCGGGGAGGCTGAGGAGGGGGGAGGGGAGGGGGTTGTGGCACTAGGGTGGTTGGGGAAGGAGTGGGGGAGGGGAGGCGAGTGGCATTTGGCTAGTTGGGGAAGGGAATGGGTGAGGAGAGGGAGTAGGAGAGAAGGGAAAGTGGCACTCATGTCACGGGGAGGGGAAAGTGGCACTCGGGGCTCAGAGAGGGAAAGTGGCACTCACGTGATTGGGGAGGGGAAAGTGGCACTCGGATAACTAAGGGAGGGGAAAGTGGCACTCAATGGGACTGGGGAGGGGAAAGTGGCACTCACTGGGAAAGTGGCACTCATGTGGACTGGGGGAGGGGAAAGTGGCACTCATGGGACTGGGGAAGGGGAAAGTGGCATTCGGGTGGCTCAGAGAGGGGAAAGTTTGGCGCTCATGTGACTGGGGGACGGGAATGTGGCACTCAGGTAGCTGGGAGAAAAAGGTAGCCGTAGGACAAAGTGGCACCCATGCAGTGGAAGGGAGGAGAGTGCCCCTCTAGAACATAAGAGGGCGATCCTTGGTTGCAATAGAGGGAGTACGAAGAGAGGGAGGGGGGGGGGGTGATAAGGGGAGGGAGGACCAGAGGGGGAGGGGGATCTTTAGAATCGGACGGAAGACCATTCGTTTCGAATTTGTAAAATACCTTCCGATTTGGTGACAGCTGGGAAGATGAATGTCAAGATGGTGAGGGAGGGAGGGAGGAGGGAGAGAGAGAGAGAGAGAGAGAGAGAGAGAGAGAGAGAGAGAGAGGGAGGGGAGGGAGGGAGGGAGGGAGGGAGGAGAAGAGGAGAGAGGAGAGAGAGAGAGAGAGAGAGAGAGAGAGAGAGAGAGAGAGAGAGAGAGAGAGAGA